CGAGAGGGGGGGGGGTGGGGGGGCAAGGGTGTGGGTGTGTGTGGTTGTGTGTGCGAGGATGGGAGAGAGGGTTGAAGCTCGACAAGCTTGACAGCGTGAGAGATGGAAAAGAGTTGTGGAGATTGAGGACAGTGTCGAATGTCAACATGACTAGAAGGAAATAGGAATAAAACATTTGTATCCCGGGAGTCTCGAGCGGGGAAAGCGTCGTTGTACTCACTCGCGGTAGTCGTCATTGTAGCTAGACAGCGCGTAGTCGTAAAATCGTAAATGTGAAATCTCTTTTCTCTCTCTCTCTCTCTCTCTCTCTCTCTCTCTCTCTCTCTCTCTCTCTCTATCTCTCTTTACGGCCAACGACGAAAGTGAATGCCATAGACAGATAGGATGGAAATAAAGCTCGAAACTAGTTGGGGGGATTTGAATAATCCGACGAATCGATGTCGCCTCTCCTCATCTATTTTCCCTCGGCTCTGCGCGTTTATGCGTATCGCGCCATATACGGACTTTCTCGCGGTTTTATACCTTGCCGAGTCGTCCCGCCGACCATCAGTATGCGCCGAATGTTAACGAGGCTTTTTATTAGAGACAGCCGAGGACGTAGACGTTATAACCTCTTTCGATACGAGTCGTATCGTATTCGTAGCACCGGACTTGGAGGCGTGAAATATATGCGAATTGGAAGTAAAGTGAAAAGAATTGTGGGACAATTGTTTTGAGGCAATGGAGAAAGGAGGAGGAGCAGTCTTTGGGGTCTAATGCCTCGCTAAATGGTTGGGGCGTTGCACCGAGACGCGCGTAGGGAAAACTTTAACGGGCAAATATTTTAATATGAGATTTTATCGGGCGTGAGCAGTGAAAGCAGTGAATTTTATGTCTAATGTACTTTTGAAATGTGACTAAGGCAGCTTCTTGGGATAATCAAAATACACGAGCCAACCAAATCTTTACAGCACATCCTTAGCTGAATATTATCTTAAGCTCAAACGCTATAACTCAACATTCGGTGCTAACAAAAACAAAAAAAAAAAACAAAAAAAAAAAAATGCCAGCCATATAAATGCATAGAATATTTGAATATTTCCCGTCTCCTCAATTTGGCACTATTATCTCCAACAAAATTTTATTTATTTTTATTTATTTTGCTTTGAATAATAATCACGTGTCAAAATAAAATCATCCATTCAATTAAATTAAGTAAAATAAGTTTATCCGTATTTCTGTTTTTGGCAAAATTGCGGTTGGTATTATTAAAGCCTTTTGCGTCATAAAAAGAATTGATTTTGGAATTCTGCACTATTCTTTAAATTTAATGAATTTTTTCTCATAATATATATCGTTGAATGGAATTACTTGGATCGGATGTACTCCATTCTACCGAATAACATGGATATTTTGTATTATCATCGCATTACATTGCAGCATGAAATGACGTTTAATAATTACAAATTGAAGCAATTATGGAATTTGACAAATCCATATTGTTGATACATAAGTAAATAAAAAATTTATCATAAAATGCATGTATATCCTGTAGTATTAAATTCTACATATGTAAAAATAATAAAATATTCATCAAAATAATTGGATGTTATCTTTGATATAATACATTAACGTGAAATTATAAAGTACAAAATTAAAAATGCATAATCACGCAAACCGTGTATTTTTAATTTATTTTACAAAGATATTAATTATAATGATCATTAGTTTAATATTGTTACGAACGTAATTATATTACATTAGAATGCCAAAAAGAAAATGCTTATTCGCATACACTTTATGCTTATTGAATTAAAATCATAAGTTTTAACCTTAAAAACAATCCCATCGACGTTCATTTGTTCTGTCTTTTTCTTCTTTTTTTTTCATTGGATAGGATTATACACAACCAATAAAGTCTTAGATTGTGTAAAAGTAGATTTTATAATATCATAAACGTATTGTCACAAATTGTGTTAATCTATTGAATTGATAATTCAAGATTTTATAGCAATTAACTTTTCTTGGCAACACTTTGATGAAAGGCTCACCTAGGAAATAATCGAATATTTTCAATAGCCGTACAATGTTAATAATAAAATGGCAATAATTAAACACGGTTAATTATTGTCTACATTATATAAAATCGTCGGTTGTTTTATGTTTTTTCTTAAATGTCCATTGCCATAATCTAATCGCTAAGTTAGCGTATGGAACCGTGAATCAATGCTCTCTTCGGTGCTATTGACCTACGTGTAATTATGACAGAATCAATAATTTCACCCAACGCGAGTTTTATTCGCACGTAGCAATACATCAATCACCTGTGCACAGGGCATCATAGGAGGTAAATAATTAACCGCCCACGCGACAAACCGTTGCCTTAATGTCTCTCACCGCAGATAAGCAGTGGTACCCAGTAGGCCTTTCCAATCCCGCACGAATTAGCGCAGTAATGACGCTAGAGGGCGCGAACGAGCAGCAGAGAAAACGTACTGACGACGTCCAAAATATTTTTTAGGACGAGGAGTGGTGCTGGACAGCCAGGGGCCAGTGCTGACGTCGGAGCCCCGTTCCTCCGTCGAGTTCTCCAACGACACGGGAGCGATGGTCCACTGCTCGGCGAACGGAAGTCCGATGCCGCGGGTCGACTGGCTCATGGGCGACGGCTCGCCCGTACTTCCGATCTCCAACATCCGCGAGATGCTCGTCAACGGCTCCATATACTTCCTGCCTTTCGGGGCGGAAAACTACCGACACGACGTCCATTCGGCGGTCTACAGGTGCCAGGCATCGAACAGCGTTGGCCGCGTCCTCGGACGCGAGGTCACCATTAAGGCCGGTGAGTCGCTCGTTCCGATGCACTAAACCACAGCTAATTTCGATCATTGCAATTGCTTCCGAAATTATCGTTAAGAACAATGTTCATCGTAATGATGAATCGTGGTATTTACGCACAACCATTAAGAAACAAATTACTTTTACGAGTCAATGGGAAATTCGAAGGAATATTAGTCAGCAATTTTGCTACGATGCTTTGTGTTTGCATGTATGACATCATCAACCGTCGATATTCCTTCAATCGATCTGATAATTTTAACTACTATGTGTTCAATATCTTACTTATTGAAGATTTTAAACGTGAACAATTTTTTTTAAGCCACATTGATAACAATGATTGTAATTTTTATAATAAAGTGTTTTATTAGAAAAGTGTCGAATTTGTTGTAAAGAAAGTCATAGTCCATTGGCAGATATTTAAGCATTTTAAATTCTAGAAATTTAATCTATCACCGCTCGTTGTACAATTATGTTACAATTTTCGTTATCTGTTTTGAAGTAATATCATATGTTGTAAAAAGAGGAAAAAAGAACCACAAAAATATGCAGCCATTAATACGTGTAGAGCCAACCTAAAATCCGTTTCGTTGGATAAATTTTAATCTATAATTTGTATTATCAATGTGAGTAAATATAAAAATGTAATAAATTATTGTTATTAATCAAACGTACAAAATTATATTTAATTTTAAAATTCAAAAGACCTGACTTCTTCACACAGCTAATAACAAAAATAACATATATATATATATATATATATATATATATATATATATATAATATAACAATAATATGACGTTTGTAAAATACCAGTCACGTTACGCAATTCAATAATTCGACTTAGCTAAATTTACTTTATTTCCCGAGTGCTAAAATTAATTAAGAACAACGGACGTTGCGTGTCCGTACTTAAAGCGCTCATCCGCGAAAATATCGAATTTGGCAAACGAGAAAAATAAAGATTCGAGTAGAGTAAGCGGTTATTGGCTAAATTACGTTACTCCACTGATCATAATGAATGTCGAGTGAGTTACAGAGAGAAAATCCAAACGGTATTAAAAGGAAAATGAAAAGTCAGGAGGGAGGGAAGAGGTAGTGATGGTATTTCGTCGAGGTACTGGTTTTAACTGGCAATCTCCGTCAGGCGGTGGTGGTACGTTCGGTCATTCTTCGTCGCGAGACGTCTATACGGGGTTATACGTACATTGGGACCGGATATGAAGGGAATGAAACTTTGCCAGGAATAGCGGAAGGCAAGAGGGATGATCTAACCGGGAGATTTCGCTGATGACGACGCGAGGTGGTACAAGAGCTTGCCAACTACGTTTAACGGCTCAACCCGACTCCATTTGTAATTCCATGTATAAAGAGCGGGAGAGTAGGTGGGCTCGGGCCCTTTGTCGGATCTTCTTTACGAATGAAAATTGCTGGACCATCGCGTTTTCGTTAATGGAACGAACTTCAAAGTTCGACTATTTTTAATCAGATCTCCTTTAATCGCGCTCTCAATTTGATAGTTCTTGCCATTTGTTCTTAGCATCAATGGCATCAACAATAGTAGTAGTAGTATTAGTATTAGTATTAGTAGTAGTTGTAGAAGTAGTAGAACAATGTAGATAATTTACGTAATTCGTGGATAATTCGGCAAGTCGAAAATAATTTTAATATTAAGAGTCGCTTAGCCTATGTCGATGACAACACGGTCTTTTTAACGAGGCGCATAATTTAAATGATAATTAAATTTATTTACTAGGTTAATTTAAAAATATTTTTATAATGGTGCATGTAAGAAAAATTCTTCCACTGTAATTGTCACTTCGATGAATACTTCAACAATACAATTAACGTGGTAAAACATCGATAGTATTTTTTAAATTCAATTTGCGCTAATTCACGCTAAAATCCAATCGTATTTCTTTCGGAATTAATAATAATTACAACGGATATCAACGTTATGCCTTTTAATAAATATGAAAAATAATAAATTCAAGAGAATAAATAAGCATTGATGTTATCAAAAGGTTTTAAAACAATTAAGAGTAATTAAGATACCTGTCATGAAAAATTATTCAACTTTAACGAGCGTAAACTAGTATTATCTTATATTAAATTTATTTCCAATTGATAATGCAGAGGAATAAAAAATTTATAGCAAGTGGTCTTTGTTTTCTTTTTTCTTTTTCTCTCTCTCTCTCTCTCTCTCTCTCTCTACCTTTGAGAAGTTACTTAGATCGATTAGTCATGCTGACGGGAACGTCAGTAGGCAATTCAAAAAGAAATAAATTATACGCTCGTTTTTAAAATATTTATAAAATATCGAATATTATTATAATAAAGTTATAAATTATATTATTCGCTTGGTAATATTAAACTAAATTGGAAACTCGTTAACTCAAGTTATTTTTTTACTTAGAGTTACAGGTTTACGAATTCAGCGTACGCGACATGACAAATAAAACTTTGACATGAACACGTAGAATTACAATATTCCATGAAAATAATAACGACTGACAAAGATACGAATTCTTTATCCTCTTTTCAACGAGTGTTTTATAACATCTATGCCATTGATTAATAACAAAAGCATGTCCAACTTTGTCCGGGTAAAATAAAACTAACGACAAAGCTCGAAAAAAGCATTTGTGATGAAATTTACGTGTAAATCTAACCTAACTAATTTGGTCTCATTATTTCTACAGCCAAAGAAGATATTAAAATAACCAAATTATTCTCTTTCGTCTGTTCACAGTGGTGCGGCAGAAGTACGAAGTTCAAGTACGCGACGCCTACGTTCTCTCGGGCAACACGGGCGTCCTAAGGTGTGAAATCCCGGCCTTCGTCAAGGAATACGTATCGGTGACTTCCTGGGTGCAGGACTCGGCCTTCAACATTTATCCCACCCCTGACAGTGGTAAGTATTTGCCAGCACTCGAGGTTGCGAGTGGCTTTTCACTATTACTAGCGGCTACCTGAGTTATATAACAAACCCCGGCATCACCGCTCACTCCTAGTGTTTCTCAATCGCAGAGACGAATTTATCGACGCGCGAGACCACGGCGGCTCGAGTCCAACAAGCGATACCAACGAATCAATCAAAAGCACAACTCGAGCTTAGTGCAGCTTCCTACGCGAGGACTTTGGAGCCGCTGCGGTCATTATGTGCTGCGACAGTGATTTCGCGGCTTTGTCCCAACTCCCTTTGTGGCGATATGTTTGTTGAAACTAGTCTGGACATTCGAATTTTATTTGCTCACCAACTCGAGCGGATCCGTTTCTTTATTTTAAACTAATTCTCTCTCTCTCTCTCTCTCTCTCTCTCTCTCTCTCTCTCTCAATAATTGTTACTTTCATCATCATCATCATTCTTTGTCTGTTATTTCATATAAAAAAAAAAAAAAACAAGAAAAAAAAAATGCTTTTCTATTGAGAAGCCACAGATTTTTCGTGAGACTTCCTGAAAAACTTGACTTTTATTCATTGATAGTTGCCATTTTCCATAATGCGTTGCGATAATTTTTCATTGTTCCGTCTTTTTTCATTAGCTTTTCATATTAATACAATACATACATATTAATACAATACATACACAATAATACTCGAATAAAATAGCACAATGATTGATCTAATAAATTAGCAATCATAATAATATACAAGAGAATTTTAATTTTAAATTTCAAAGCGAAATATAGTCAGCTTTTGATAATAAAATGATAATTGAAAATTTATAATCATTGAGAAAATATTTTTATTTATTGAATGCACGTAGGCGGTTTATTTCTACATTATTGGCCACTATATCATGCTTACAATACCAATTTAAATAATGTTACCATGGAGTGAGATTATCCTGGCAAATATAATGTTTATACTATAAATATTGTTATGAATAAAATTAATATTGATAAAAATAAATATCAATATATATGTGTGTGTGTGTGTGTGTGTGTGTGTATGTATATATAATTTGAAGAAGAATATACAGATAAATTACTAATAATCTTAGCATAATATATCATCTATAAACATATATGAAAATATCGAATCAACTTATATTATTATTAACATTCTTATCAGCCAACTCAACGAACGAATGATGTATTATTGTCCGTATATATATATATAATTATATTATATATTATATAATTATATATAAATAGTATTATATATAATTTGAAGAAGAATATACAGATAAATTACTAATAATCTTAGCATAATATATCATCTATAAACATATATGAAAATATCGAATCAACTTATATTATTATTAACATTCTTATCAGCCAACTCAACGAACGAATGATGTATTATTGTCCGTATATATATATATAATTATATTATATATTATATAATTATATATAAATAGTATTATATATAATTTGAAGAAGAATATACAGATAAATTACTAATAATCTTAGCATAATATATCATCTATAAACATATATGAAAATATCGAATCAACTTATATTATTATTAACATTCTTATCAGCCAACTCAACGAACGAATGATGTATTATTGTCCGTATATATATATATAATTATATTATATATTATATAATTATATATAAATAGTATTATATATAATTTGAAGAAGAATATACAGATAAATTACTAATAATCTTAGCATCATATATCATCTATAAACATATATGAAAATATCGAATCAACTTATATTATTATTAACATTGTTATCAGCCAACTCAACGAACGAATGATGTATTATTGTCCGTATTTATTATAATTCTCTTTCACTCTCCCATCCGTCTGTCACACACACACACACACACTCTCTCTCTCTCTCTCTCTCTCTCTCTCTCTCTCTCTCTCCTTCATTCTAGTGTTGTCACTCTGTGTGTGCATATGGCTTTTTTTGCAACCCATTGAATTAAATAGAAATTAAAAATTCATCGCTGAAAATAAAATTCAAATGGAGATTCTTAGCTTCCTCTTTCCACGGCCGATTGGAGAAGTGCTGAGTAAGACAACAGAAAAATTGAAGATAATGCGGTGGAGTTGTCTGGAATAGAGAAAGATAGTTAGAAAGCATTCCTCTGGCTCGCTTGTCCGGCGGAATGTTGAAAATAGATGGAGCTTAGGGAGGAGGAGGCAATCGATAAGCATTTTCTATCTATGTAATATAAAAGATGGAATGCTGAGAATTGTAGGATAGTGAAAAAGAGAATAGACTTTGCGGATTCGCATCCGCCTCGGTAGCAATTTCATAGAAGATTTCACCTACAATTAGATTCTTTCTCGAGGGGAAATGCATTCCACGAGTCCAAACAAAAGAAGATGCGACGTCGGTCATTGGGAAAATACCGCACGCCCTGGCATCTAATCCTTCGCCGCGTGAAATCGAGCAACTGCACAACATTGAACAAGGAGATCGGCTCGATCCACGCTCTCGCGCTCTCTTCATCCTTTCTTCTCACTCTCGCCATTATTGATTTATCCACTGGACTGCAATAATTACAATACTTATACGAGATTCGACTCTCAACTGCTTCACAATGATACACATTTGTTGTTCATCAGTGCAGAAAGCATATCGTTAAATTGTGTATAATTAACGCCTTCAAGACATATAAACAACTATATAAACTGCAAGATGTCGCCAAAAGTTACGTAATATCGTATGTATATTCTCATTCCCTCTTTTATCTCTCGGAGAGGACTGATCACTCACTCTTATTCTACATTTATATTATAGCTTCGTAATATTTACACGTAATAGTCGGTTATTGGCAACGATACTCCATACTTCTAAACCATAAATTAATTAAAATTAATTAGAAATATTGAAATTAGTAATGGAAATTATTCCAATATACTATTATGCCGCAGTCGATGACTTTGTAACGACTCTAATCATAAAGCCCATAATACTCGAAGGAATAAAAATAATTACGCATTCATGAAGGCCCTCATTGTTTTAATAAATACTTACCCAACTATTTACCGTCCTTATTGTTCACCCCTCCATCTTCTATAATATCGATACTTCTAGATGAATACAGGCAAGCCTGAGCTAATGAAGATCGATACTCTCCGACGTTCCGCAGCCGATTCCAAGCGAACCGATTACCATCGACGAGGGAATGGAAGCCGTCGCCGGAACATCGTTGTCTTCTTCTCCTACGTCCTTTATAGGCGGTGTGCACTTGTTATTCTAGATATTCGACGTCGTCGTCGTCGTCGTCGTCGTCGTCGTCGTCGTCGTCGTCTCTCTCTCTCTCTCTCTCTCTCTCTCTCACTCTAATTCTCTTCTTCTTCTTCTTCTTCTTCTTCTTCTTCTTCTTCTTCTTTTTCGTCTACTTCCTCTTTTATTTTCTTCCTGGCGAACGATAAAAATAAAGAGACAAAGGGTGAAAAGAAGAAAAGACTCGTAGAGATGCACGATTTCATGGCGGAAGTTGCTTTATAGCTGCGGCTCAAATGCTTAAAGCATGCCATTGAAATAATTTTAAAGAACAGTTACTACTATTTAATAGCGATACATAAGAATGCCCACGTTTATTTATTATTGGAAAAGCCTATACTTGTAATCTCATACACTTTTCCACAGGCGAGCTTTTTCTTTTCACATCATTATTTTATTACTATATTATTTCACTACTATTTCAATATCCTCATTTTCTTGCTTAATGATCTTCCTTGCGTAAATCTATTGTCAAGCTTTATTTAATTAATTATTCTTATATTCATTATTATGAAAGAATCAAGTCGGTCTGTGTATTTTTTTTTTTTTTTTTTTTTTTTTCAATATAAAATATTAATTGCTATGTTAATTAAAACGAAAAGTCAATACTTATTAACTATTATGTGCTATAAATAATGAATTTATATATATTAACCATTTATTATTAATATAAATAAATACTAAAATCAAATATACTAAAATATACTAAAATCAAAATATATTAAAAATTGATGTTATATTTAGTATTTTATATTCAGTAAATATTATTTTAAGATTTATAAATTTTTTAAAACATATTTTGCAAAAATTTACCTACTTATCAAGGAATCTTTATTAAACAAAAAAAAAAACTTATTAAAAGTTAATCTATTCCAATTACGCTTACTAAAATACATAAGCTAAACATTCATGGACTTACAACATCTATCAATTATATAATTTCGCTACGCTTATTTATAATAACGCCAATCTCTATGAAATATATTAGTCAGAAATTCAAAATTTGTCAATCGCTTTACAGGACAAATAATAAATATGATATTCGCTTACATAAACTCTTGTAAAAAGCTCCATAAATGCAATACACCAATACTAAAACTGTTACGCAACAGTAACTGGAGCTTTCCATTTTAGTATTACAAAAAAAAATGGAACTATTCGTCGCTTTCATGTAAAAGGAATGAAAAGAAGAGAAGAAACGAACAATTGGTGTGCAAAAGGTAGGGAAAAAGGCAGAAAATAAAGTGCAAGTTTTCTTTAAACTTGCTAGAGTAAAAGAAATAAAAAACGTAGACCAGTAAGATTGGAATTTTCAAAACGATGGAAATTCACCGTGAAAACCAAAAATGAAGCCATGTATTATTTGTATATAAATAGCGTTGACTTTATTTGTGGTTATGTGTATAAAGCTTCTACCATTTCTCTCCTCGCAATTCACTTATTGTCTTTTTCTCTCTCTCTCTCTCCCTCTCTCCCTCTCCCTCTCCCTGTATATATATATATATATATATATATATATAGATTTGTCACTTATTCCATTGTAAGACTATATCATTTTATGCTTATAATCTCTATGAAATCCAAGTAGCAACTGCACGTGAACGCTTCGAGATTTCTCACCGTACTCAACGCTTCTCTCACCCTAAAGCCACTTTTTTTACTAAGTAATTTGAACTTTGTAACGAGTTGCCGCACTGAGAACACATCCCATGAATTCTAGAGGATCAAGGAAGAGACTGAGCCTGATACTTCCAACTCATGTTCATTTCGTAGCTCATTTTAAGGTTACTTTTTCGTCCTATAATAGACAAGCACGTACCTCAACATCATCTCAATAAGTTCTAGTTCACTAATTTTCACGAATTCTAATATGACAGATATGTAATCTATTTTCTTGCTAAAATTAAAAGCACACATAATGGAAAATTAATTTGAATTTAAGAAGATTATTGACTTTTCATTAGCATTATGTTTTGAATAGCTAATGCACATATATTTAATGGAGCACAATACAACTTATTCGATCTTATATGAAATATTTCAGCATTTTATATTCCACAATAACAATGTCAAAGTATACAATAATAATTTACATTGTAATAATTTTAATTAATTTAAAAATATATTAAAATTTACAACATATACAAGCACATTTATTTCTTAAATAATTAAAAAATAATTATGAAAAATATTTTATTTAACAAACTTGTTTGATAAAATTATTAGGCAAAATTTAAAAATTCAATTATCATACTACAAAGAATTTTATTTTACGAGAAAAAAAAATATATATATACATATATATGTATCGATATTTACAATTATAATTTTTATGCGTAACTGCAGATCTTTCATTTCTTTATACTTATTATTTCATACCTTGTAATGATAAAACCTACCTTGTATGTAACAAAGTTTTATTATTTTTCCTCTATTTTCACCTACTTGCTTCATTTCCTTTTATACACTTGTCAAACCTCTTTATAATTCAACTTTAATGTGCAAATTATTTATTACATAATCACAAATAATTCAGTTCACATTTTATTTCACTGCCATCAACTCGAAATAAAGTATGACATTTTTATTTTAAACAAATCGCTTTATAAGTATGTTAAATGATATTTATATAATAAACAATAATTAAACAATTTTTAAAAATTATAAATTTTATAATTCACATACATGAATAGTAAAAGAAATTATATAATTACAAGAAAATAATATCATATTTGCTTAGCGTTATGAAAAAAATCATGAAAAAGTATGCAATACAATTGTTTGTAAGTATATTTTTGAAATATGACTTTATTAAATTAAAAACATATTGATATGTGATTTATAATAATATTCATAAATGTATGTTTTGTTTTCTATCGAATTAGCCAATGAAATTTTTTATTAAAAATCATTAGCAATGAAAGAACTTAATTGACTCAATTTGATTAATAGCATATATAATTTAATAATATAAATAACATATGATTATAAGTCGAAAAAATAAGGTAAATAATATTTTAATTATTAAATTTTTAAACAATAAATATTAATCATAAAACATAACGAATAAATAATTAAAAGAATTTCATGCAATTAAATAATTAAATGTAATTTATTAATATAATAAATGCTATTCATCATGATAATAATGATTATTATATTTCAAACATTTTTTTAAAAGCAAGAAACATGATATGTAACAAATTTAAATAAAATTGGAGAAATATCTTTTTATAAATAAAAATTCATAAGAGCATTTTTCTATATTATTTAGAATTATTAAAATTTTCTTTGAATAGAAATTGATCCTTTGATAGTTTGTAAAATTTTCATTTCACATTCATTTTATTTAATGATGAATGAAATTCTAGTTTTTTTTTTTTTTAATTTTTTTTTTAGTATTTTATTGAATAAAATCTATCTACTTAAAAAAAAAATTCAATTGCAATTTTTGAGACTCGTAAGATTTCATTTATTGATAATAAAAAGTCTGACATCTCACGTATTAGGAAATATCGGCTTACTTTCGAATGAAATATTCTTACAAATTCAACTGTATAATTCAATTTTACTGAAATGTTAATGAGCAACTTCATTCTTTGAAATATTATTACTTCTACTTGTGTAAAAATATTAAATTTCAATTCATTTAAGCAAATTTTAAAGGACGCAAATAAAATTGCATAAAAATATAACAAAAAGAAGCGGAAGAGTGTGACAAAATTTTAACCTTTGAGAAAAAAAAAATGGGGCAACTGGATAAATTTTTCGTTCGCGGAAACGATTCGTGAAAGATGTTCTCTCCTTTTGACCTCCTTAGTCACGACAAATCGACTTTTAAGGACCTTCTGGTCCACTTTAAGAACAAAATTGATCGGTCCATTATTCCGCAAACACTTGCACTTGTCGATCAATGTAACTTTCCACCTATAATATCCCGACTGAATTTTATCTTTCCCGGCAACTTTGAAAAATTGTGCTTTCTAATACTCGACGAGCCAAAGCGCTTTATATTTTTATTAAATGAACAAATTCGTAATTCCAGCTTTGCGCCAGTACTTCAGTCACTTTAACACTTTGTCAATTGCAGTTTGCATGCTCAAGTAAAAGAATCGCAAGATAGAGAGGCTTTAGTTACTGGATAGACTATGATAAATCCAGAAGAAATGTAAATAACGACTGAGTCACGAAGCAACCTGATTTAAAACGACGAAATAAACATTTTTTTTAATTAAGTACGACTCCCTGATTTCAGATAATGTTCACTGAACTTTACTATAAGATAAAAGGAGAGAAAGTTCTTTGGTTAAATACACGTCTTCTATATTCATTTCAAGGATCGGCGAATAAGTTTTATTAGTTTTTTTTTTCAGTTTCGCTTTTATCTTCTTTTTAATTTAGCGCAGTTTATTCTACATATATGCTATTACAATTTAAATCGCTAGAATTATTTTTACAAACATTTGTTTCTTCAGGCACGTATGTAACTTTTTTTTAACGATTGTTTTATATTTTTTTTTTTCTTATATTCCATACAGTGGTGAAATTTAAATGGCTTGAATTATTTGCACAAAAATCTCCTTATCCTGGAAATTTTATCGAATAAAAGATTAAAGTAATGTTGTTGAAAATAATAATAATAATAATAATAATAATAATAATAATAAACCATGTGGAAAATTTCTCCAAATTTTCAAATCCTATAATGCTACTTACCTATATTATTTTTAATAATTATCATTCGATAATGTAGTAAATATACTTTGACAAAATTAAATACTTAGGAAATAATTTTAACCGGAGAGAGACTAATAATATAATAAGAGAGATAAAAAGTAATACTAAATAAAGCAATATGTTTCGGATGTATACAATATTATTTCAATAAATAAATATGGCCTCTGCATGTTTTCGAATTGTATTTTGACATGAAATTATTGACAATTTTCATAAAAGTAAGCTAGCGTTTCGACATATAAATAACAATACTTACGAGAGATGTGCAAATATCATTCAAACAATCTCTTTGGTCTATAAAAACAATAAATAAAAAGCATTACCCAACGAAATAAAATACAAGTTTCGCTTGATGGTAAAACACTGTATCGTAATATAAAGTTAAAAAAAAAATATTTCTTCTTACGAGCATGTATATATGTGTGTGCGTGCGGGCGTGCGCGCGCGCGCGCGCGCGTGTGTGTGTGTGTGTGTGTGTGTGTGTAGGCGCAATATAAATACATTGCCGAGGCGTAATAGCATCCTTGAAGGATCAGCGTAATACAATATTCCTATGGCCATTGCCCGTTTGGGTAACCTCAAAAGACACGAAAAATTTACCAATTACCCATCTAGAAGACGTTCCTTATACAATAAAATCAGTCATAAAGGGCTAGTGATGTAGAATATATTAACAAGGAGCAATAAGTTAAGCAATACTTCGAACTGCTCTACAAGATCCTTGCGCTCAATCTGAATTAATGCCATTGTTGCAGATGGAAAATACCACATGCTGCCGACGGGGGAGCTCCTTGTGTTCTCCGTAATTTCCGCGGATGCTCACGCGAGCTATCGCTGCCGTACTGTCCATCATGTCACCGGGAGCACAGTCGAAAGTTCCTCCTACGCTCATCTAGTGGTTACGGGTAAGTTGTACGGCTATTGTTTCTCAGTTGGATCCCGTCCGAGCTTTTGACGAGAAGCTCGATGTGGCTCTCAACCATTGATCGGCTCGGTGCTGAGGAGAATTTGATTAACTTCGGCTTTTCCGTTAAGATTCGATTGTCATTATAAATGGCTTCGCGAATTATTGCTCGGACTTTGTAAAATCCTAGCGGGCAAAAACCCCATGGGCTCGCTATACTTTACTCGCACTCCTTACTTACGCCTGATTTCACAAAATGTAGGCGAAATCGACTTTACAAAAGATATTGAAATTTAATACAAAATTTTCATAATTCAGTGTGCAGTAGTAAATGATATTGAATTGAATTATTTGAATTATTAATTAATTAATTAATTGAATTATCGACGAAAACATTGGCCATCCATATTAATAAATGCAATAAATACTGCATGATGAACGATGTGTATCTTGTTGTAATTGTTATAAATTCATTAACTGAACAATTCAGTATTCTCATTCGTCAGTAATTTTCATTCATTTTATCGCGTTAATTTTAAATATGAATGCCAAGCATTTACAATTAATCGTTATCTTTAAAAAAAAAAAAAGATAAAGGAATTATTTTAAAGTAATTTCTATGCTACGAAAGTGATTGCCCGCTTCATAATAAATTATAATAGTTTGTATTAAACATTCTTGACGCATGCGCAGGCATTGCGATAAACAGACGTTTGAATTAATAATGGCATATTTCATAATACGATAAATGCCCGAAAACCATCGAGTTATTCTCAATCAAAATATTGCTATAAACCATAAATATTACGTTATATATGAATAAGTTCTTTATACAATATAATATTATCATAAAAAAAATTCACCTTAAAATCCTTGGAAACTCAAAATAATAAAACAGTATATAAATAATGCCGATTATTCGATTATAATATTAGAAAACGTGCATTATAAGAAATGTGAATAGTAAAAATAGTTTTAATGCGCGTATAAGTAATAGATAATAAATTATGTCGAGTAATTTAGAATCTTGTAATTATTTTTCATCGGCATTGTTCTATATCCTGGCCATACTATCACTAAGTATTTATTTATATTCACGACATCGTTAACTATATTAACACAAAAGATATATTAACTTAACAGCCCAAGTTAAGAGAATACAATAGTACCGTCAAATCACAGCAAAATACAAGCATAATAAATCACATTAATGCACTATGAATTTCAGCATTTACTGTAGTAAAAAACAATGTAAACACTATGTGTAAATAGCATTAGATAATGCAGTATCTTTATCTACGTGAAATGGCGAATTATTAGGTTTTGAAAATGTCAAATGACCAAACCAAATACAAAATATAAGTTAAAATACCATTGCTATTCCAGTAAATTTATAATCGAAATATCGTCCTTAAAAACAATGGAAAACATTATAAAAAATATAGTTACCAACTACCATCCAGTCGTTTGACTTACGATTAAAAAGTAGCACAGACTTTTAAAATCATCTAAACCACTATCCGGCATTTCAATATGAAAGTAAGTTTGAATTAAATTATGAACTCTGTAATATGGCGTTCCGAAGAAAATGCATTTATCAAAGTTACGATAGTAAAGGCCGAACCGTGAATACGAATAAACAGCGTGTATCCGTATAGTTTTTAATGTAATTAACCACAACACAGCATGAATTTTAACATTTGCTCCTTCTCAGATCGCAGGGAATAATTATATCATTTGAATTTTAGCCTCTCGAGCATTTTAGTAATATAAATTAATATGTATGCAAACATTCGTTGTACAAATGAAGTAACGCAGAAGTAATGGCAGAGTAGTCGACTTCAACGCAGAAACTAATTTAATGTAAAGTTGCAACTAATCAAACTAACTTGAGCTACCATTGGAAATGTGGTTTTCTTCCTCTACATACATACAAACAATTATTATTCTCTACTATGTTTTCGTGAACGTATTTTCTATGTGCCGCATGAATCAACTTTGTCGACTTATGTACATTACAATATTTAGATGACGAATAAGAGAGTTTGGTACTGAAAGTAAACTAATTATTTTAAATTCTATCGCACTAAACATATTTAAAATAAAAATTTACATTCTGATGTGAATAACGACGTTAAAATCATAATTTTATTTATTATATTTTAATAATAATTAATAAAATAACAATATAATATAGAAGAATAATAAAGAATTTTAACAAATTTAAATAAAATTAACGTATTGATATATTATTGAAATACACTGCTCCATTCGATTATGCAAGCAACTATATTTTTACAAAAATGGATCAATTTTAAAAGACAATATTAGAGATTGTTAGAGGATATTAGAAAGTTAATGAAACAATAAATAATCAGCACATATTAATAGCGAATTAATGGCGATTATTGCAATAAGCAAACTTAAACATCACACTGAATACCCATGATAAATGTTAAATATGAATCGAAAAACAAAGATAATTTTATTCGGAAGCTCTTGCATAATAATAATTAACGAAGATAAACAAAGTGCATAAGTACAGATTTATGATATTTAATATGCACTCATTATTTAAAATATTATTTAACTACCTTAACTGCACGCGTTGCATAATAATTTTTATAAAAATTAGTTTTTCGCTGCATTCTGCGATTCCAAAAAATGACAATATTTTATATCCACTATGTTTATACCCTTCATTGGTCGCTCAAATTATTGGAAAATCAAAATTATCTAATCCACAAATTAAAGTCGCTTAAAATTTTCTCGATTGCAAACGAATGCGCCGAGTTCGTAAGCGAAAATAACACAAATAAACCACCAGATGCAAGAAGCCGATAATGAAACTCGTTCGACACAAGCGGATCATCGGCGAAATTTCACACAGAAAGGAGGGAGAGCGGATTTTAACTTTTTATCGGACTCGTCTCCTCGTGGATGATCTCTCCGTAGACTTGGCGGCTCGTTATATAAAGCCAATCAACCGCGGTATTTATCGAAGATCGACTTACGAGCATTTAAACATTGCCTCCTAAACGTCGGTAGTTCCTGTTACCCCGTATAATCATCGTCGCCCCCCCCCCCCCCCCCCCCCCCCCCCCCCCCCCCCCCCCCCCCCCCCAACCCCACCTCACCCAACTCCATCCCAATTTCCCTCACCGTAACAGTGTAACCGCGAGTGGCCACACCTCCGCTGCCTGACCTAATGAGTTTCGCAAATCGGCCTGGCCCTGGTTACGTGCTTGACAACGCATTCGTAAACAGAGTTGGATAATCCGTTGCAAGTAATTACGCGAGTCAGAAGAACGAGGACGACGATAACGAGTGTTGATTACACTCACTTGCCAAAAAATACAAATTTTCTATTATGGATTTGATACGCTCGATAGCTAGACAAAGGAATGACTTGAATTCGTATAATCTATATTTATTTAAACGATACTACTTCTACTGTTTCATACTGTCACTACAGTTGGAAATACTTTGGATTAAGACTTTCAAGGGATTAAAACCATTGCAAATTGATGGAGCTAAATTATCTAACATTAGATTATAAATTTTGTATTTGAAAGTAAGAAATTAATCGTTTTATAGCTTGTAAAGTGTCGTCTATGTTCATGGCAGAATAATGATTATTATTTTGATAGTTAGAATTTCAAATCCTTGAAAATCCGCAAGAATAAATTTAATTGATTCACATAATGGCTTGTCGTACTTCTTTTAATACTTTGAGTAAATTGGAAACGTGTATTGTTACGAGGGAACCAATTGAGGAAAAATTCTCTCCTCTTAATCTAATTGCCAACTATGAAAAAGCCACGTACTTATTAAATCGTAATATTACATTACATACTTATGAATTCAATGTTCAGAAGTATGTTAGGAATTAATTTTATTTATTTTTTTATTTTTTTTTTCTCTATATTTATAAATATACAATATAGTGCATAAAAGTATTTTTTTTTAATTAGTAAAAGGCAATTCTATGCAAAATAATAATGTAAAAAAATTATTTTCCCTTCATAAACGAGATAGACTACATAACATAATATTATTCAATCTCCATAGTTATAAAAACGAACTTCTTACAAACTTAATATTCAGAAATAAAAATCTAAAAATACAACAAAATTTATACTTTCTATATTGTTTCTGATGAAATTTATGAATGTTAGGAAAAAATTGTTCTATAATTATAAAATTGTCTAATAATTTTTTTTTTTTTTTTTTAATAACATTTATTTTACAATTATAATAAAAATGTGAATCTAAACTATAATAATTGCAATGATTCATAATTTATAAAAATTTATAATTGAATAAACAATGACTTTGCTCGTATTTTCTTCAATTTCATCAATTTCAACACTCTATTTCTAATGCGACTATTATCTATTTATCAATCATTTATTGTATTTACAAATACACGGAAAGCTTTTTCTCTAAAAGTCAGCTCGATAAATAAACACTATCTCAGTTAATTAATATAACAATGTTTTGCAAGCAAACAGAGGAAAAATTATAATTAAGAATACGTATTGTTTAATATTACAATTGAAAGATAATATTACTATTGTTTATGCGCGTGGCCGACTTTTTCATAATACACGAACGAATTAAAAATGATTTGATTATGATTTTTAATTATTACCGGGCATCGATACCAAATGAATTGCTACTGATCCGATCAGACATTTATTATTTGTTACAGAACAACAAGATAACGGAAAATATTTTTTCTTTACAGTATGTTTATTCTAACTATATAGGTATATTTATATTATAAATTCTACAAAAAATCTTATTGAAATTCAAATAAGTTCACCTGCTACATTATTATGGTTATTGCTGCTTTAACCGAATAGAGAAGATTCACTCGGCTAAAACTATTCAATCCGCGGAAAACAGTGATATCCAATTATTTTGTTTCAATTGAAATTGGATTTGAGTCTGCAATAGATGAATACATTAGATGAATTTACATTATAATTGCATTAG